GCTACAGCACAGCAGCTCTTCTTCTTGGTTTTCTCCTGATGCACTAACTCTGCAGCAGCTGCTCTTCTTGGTTTTCTCTGACGCACTAACTCTGCAGCAGCTCTTATTCTTCGTCGTCTCGTCTGATGTGCTCACTCAACCAAGCATTCTAACCACGAGCTCGCCCCTCCCCACACCCCAACCATTAGAATTTCTGTAGGCGGGAATTATTGGTAATGATATTCTAATGAGCCGCTTTGTGATATCACAAAGCCCGGAAACCAAACGCTGTAGTCCAAACGAGACGTTCGTTGTAGTTCTTGAAAAGGGAATTTTTTTTTAAATGAAATATCTCCCTTTGGAGTGGACTTTGAGATTTGTAACTTTCTAGATATTTTTTATGCCCAAACATACACACTACACACTGACTAAAATTAAAAAAGTGAAAAAGCATAATAGGACCCCTTTAAATAAATGTATATTTTTATTCCGCAAGAATGCATTAAATTGATCAAGTGACAGTATGGAAATTTATGTTACAAAAGATTTCTATTTCAAGTAAATGCTGATCTTTTGAACCTATAATCTAAGAATCCTTAAAAAATGTGTCATGATTTCCACAGAAATGTTAAGCAGCACAGCTGTTTTCAACACTGATAATAATCAGAAATGTTTTTTGAGCAGCAAATCAGCATATTAGAATGATTTCAGGGTTGCAAAAAGGTGGACATTTTCCATTAAATTTCGGAAAAATTCCAGGATTTTTTGTAATCTTCCAGGGATTTTTGGAAAGGTTCCGGAAACTTACCAGAAATTTTCCAACCCTTTGCAACCCTACATGTGACACTGAAGACTGGAGTAATGATGCTGAAAATTCAGCTTTGATCACAGAAATCAATTACATATACAGTGGGTATAGAAAAGAATCAGTCCTCTTTAAAATAATCACATTTTGTTGTTTTGCAGCCTAAAATGAAGGTGGACACAGTTTTTGTTTTATGGAGCTGTATTTACTCAGTGCAACTTATAACATCCAAGTGAAAGATATAACACCAACATGTAAAAAAAAAAATTCAGAATCAGATTTTTGGTTGGAAAAAGGATCACCCCCTTGTGTCAGTATTTTGTTGAACCACCTTTTGCTTTAATTACAGCCTTTAGTCTGTTGGGATTTGTCTCTACTAACTTTGCACATCTAGACTTTGCAATATACAGCTTAATAAAACAAAAACTGTGTCCGTCTTCATTTGAGGCTGCAAAGCAACAAAGTGTGATTATTTTCTATAACCACTGTATATTAAAAATAATATATAAAATATTAAAAATAAAATGTAAATGTATTAAAATAGAAAGCAGTTAATTTAAATTGTAATATTTCACAATATGACTTTTACTGTATTTTTAATAAATAAAATCATTCTTGGTTAGCATAAGAGACTTCTTTCAAAAACATGGAAATATCTTTTTACATGGTAGTGTATGTATATGTATTATATTGTTTCAGATAATGCACAATTATTTTGCTATATTAATAATAATAAAAAAAAACAGTCATCATTACATAACCTATACTGGTTAGTCATCATGAATCCGGTCTGCAGGCTGCTTGCCTGGTTACCTCATGTATAGTGTGTGTGTGTGTGATGTGTTTTCATCTCTTTGTATTACTCCTGCTGTGTCCAGGTGTTGCTCCCAGCTGCCAGCCTGCTGCAGTTGATGGATGTTCGACAGGTTTGCTGCGACTTCCTGCAGACGCAGCTTCATCCCACCAACTGCCTGGGCATCCGAGCGTTTGCTGACCTTCACGCCTGCACAGGACTGCTCAGCCAGGCCCACGCTTATGCTGGTGAGCTCTCTTCTTGCTTGAGTCATTGTGGGATGGGAAACAGCTAGTCGATTAAGCAACCCACCAATATGTATTTTTATGCCAAGGAACATTTTTTGAGCAAGTTCACTTGTTTCAAGCAGAGCAGCACTTTACAGACGTCATGGTGGGAGAGGAGTTCATGGCCCTCTCCTTGCAGCAGGTGTGCAGTCTGATCTCCAGTGACAAACTCACCGTGTCCACCGAAGAGAAGGTAACACTACCAAGTTTATTGTCCCAGTTGTGTCTTTTCTATTGTGATTCTCGGTTTCTCCCTCATCCACCACATCACAGAGCCTGTTTTTAGCTCGGCCTTCTGTGATTTGTAGACAGCAGACGGTTGATGGTTGGTTTTTACATGTACATGCTGGTGTGATGCTGAAGGAGACGACGAGCCATCTGTCAGTCACCCTGCATTAGCTGCTCTCTGCTTACGAGTAACTTGTGTCTCCAGTCTGCGCTCACACACCCACTTGATGGCAGCTGTCGTCTGTCAGATGCTTCAGTGTCATCTGAGCAGCAACACAGGCATTGGAGGATGGCGGCCTGTTCTCCTGTGACTGCGCTTTATTCATACAATATGCAGAGAAACAAAGAACAGACTTTGTTCTCGTCTGTTACACCCCCAGGTGTTTGAGGCCATGATCACCTGGATAAAGCACGATAAAGAGGCCCGTCTGGAGCACATGCCTAAGCTCATGGAACATGTTCGACTGCCCCTGCTATCCAGAGATTACCTGGTTCAGGTAAGACTGGGCTCAGTTTCATAACAAGTAGGGATGTAACGATTAACCGCGAGCCAGTTGAAAAACGATTAAAATATGTGACAATTCAAATCGGTTGAGATGTTAAACAAAGCGCGATTCAATTAGGGGCAGGAGTTTATATGAATGTATGTCTGAGGGGAACTTACTGTCTATAGAAAAGTTTAGATGGTATTTTGTCTTTTCATCTTGCCACAAGTGCAGCGCTGCTTTGTTTACAGCGGAGACCAAGAAAACGCTTTAAGCGCCACCTGCTGGCAGAGAGTGAATCTCCGTCTCGTTCAGCTCGTCAGCTGTTTCTGTTTCATGCAGATATTTTTTATGTATAGTTTCACAAAACAAATCATTCTGTTTTTGCTTCAGATTTCGAAATTATACACTCTAATTTAGATTAAAAACTGCTCATGTTGCATGTATGCAGCATCTTTAAATGCAGTGGTTGCCTGCCTCTAATTTTAAAAGGAAAGAGCACAGACAAAGCCTTGTTTTATTTATATGAAGAGATTTCTTTTATTTGTGTTACTTATTTATTTGATTTGGGGCTTGTTTTAAAATTTCAATTTAGTTTTGTTATTTACATTTACATTATATTTAAATGTTGTTATTTAGCAGATGCTTTTATCCAAAGTGACTTACAAATGAGTACAATAGAAGCAATCAAAATCAACAAAAGAGCAATAATATGCAAGTGCTATATTAGTATATTATTATAGTGTTATATTTCAAAGAAAAACGTGCAGCATTTTGTTCAAGCAATAATAAAAGGACACATTTCATTTCTAATTTTTCTTAAATCTCATTTTGTAAAAAAAAAAAGAAAAGTGAATCGAATCGTGAAATCAAAATCGTGAATCGTGACTCTAGTGAATCGTTACATCCCTAATAACAAGTTCAAGGGCTGTAACAATGCACCCCGAGCCGGTTGAAAAATTGATAAAGATATGTGACGATTCAAGTCAGTTGAAATGTTAAACGAATCGCGATACATTTGGGAGTGAGGGTTTATATGAATGTATCTCTGAGGGGAAAAGTTTAGATGGTATTTTCTTTTCATCTTGCCTCTGCATAATACATATTAAAGCAGTGTTTATAAGCTGAGCTGCTTTGTTTACAGCGGTAACCAAGAAAACACTATATCGCTGCTGTTCCATAAGCGCCACCTGCTGTCAGAGAGTGAATCTGCGTTCTCATGCAGCCCGTCTGCTGTTTTTGTTTTGTTAGTATAAAATTCATAAAGCTATATAATTCATAAAGCTAAAGTATATAATGTATATAATTCATAAAGCTAAAGCTAGACCATTCTGTTGCTTCAAATTTCGAAATAATACAATGTAATTTAAATCAAAAACAGCTTGTGCTTCAAGTATGCAGTATCTTTATTTGGATTGTGATTAAATGGAAAGAGCACAGACAAAGCCTTTATTTACATAAAGAGATTTATTTTATTTGTATTTATTTATTTGATTTGGGATTTTATTTTGGGAGTCAGTTTCACAAAAAAAATTGCTGTATTTTGTCTGAGAAATAATAAAAGGACACCTTTTCATATATAATTTGTTTTAAATAAAATGTTGTAAAAAATTTTTTTGAGAAAATTGAATCTTAAAATCAGTATCATGAATCGCATCACATTGTGAGTTGAGTGAGTCGTTACATCCCTAGCGAGTTCTCTGTATTTGTTGTGATCGCATTTGTGGTTTTATTCAAGCATTATTTTAAAGATTTAAATGTGTATTTGTACAGATTGTAGAGGAGGACCCCTTAATAAAAAACAACAACACTTGTAAGGACTTTCTCATTGAGGCGATGAAGTACCACCTTTTACCTGCAGACCAGCGGCACCTTATAAAGACTGACAGAACCAGACCACGCACACCAGTCAGTTTGCCGAAGGTATTAATATAATCGCTTCAAACTTACAGTACCAGTCACGTTTGGATGTACTTACTAGTTCTTTATTATCACTAGTTTTCTGAATGATTCACTACTGTACGTCTGATTCAAACTGCTAACTCACGTGCAAGCTTGAGGTTGTACTGTTAAATACTGCATACAACCCTCTATGCACACCTTGGCAATAAAATCGCCATTGGCTAGTACATTTTTTTCGTTTACTCTAATATATATATGTATATGTGTATGTATATGATTCCACCAAATCAGCTTATCTTCATTAAATATACATTCATGTGTGATATGATCTGAAAGTAGCTTTTAATTGATTGACTTTTAACAATCATGCATTTTTATGATATAACTTAAGTAATTAGAACTAAAACTTGGTAACCTCGTATGAATGAAAATGTATGAATGCATATTTGTCATTTTAACAGAACTTAGGACTGGTGGTGGTGCTTGAGACTTTGTTGGTCATTTAGTGTTTCTGTAAAAAAACTAACAATAATACTACTACTACTACTAATTCTACTGCTACTAATAACAATATAAAATGCACCAAGATCTGATGAGCTGCTGGGTTAAAGAATATTAATCACATTGTCTGCGTTTGCTTGAACTGATTTGCTGAAATCAAAACAGTGACGGTAATAGGTGAGCGCCAGCCAATGAGATTGCAGTTTGTGCATTAGTTCCGCCTACTACCAAAGAATATAATTTACATGTAGCACATACATTTTACATGGTAAGACTGTCTTGCTCTCCCTCTCTTTGCATGTGTGAGAGAAACACGGAGCGCTCTCAGCTAAGCGACGGCTCACACTAGAGTTTACAGTACGTCAAATACATCCATTGAGATGAACTGAAATAGTGCGCTTTAAAGACGGAGAGCGAAACTCTCAAGTGCGCAGTGTTCAAAATTAGTAAAGTAAAGTGAAATATCGGTGTTAAACTTATAGTTAGCCTGGCGAGTGAAATCTAACAATTTATTATCCAATGGCTAACAATAGACATTATTTGGTCGCCTAGCATGGAAATTTAGTCACACATGCGAGTGATTTATTCGATTATATGAATGGGGATAAAGTGCAACATGCTATATCATACCTGTCAACATTTGGGTACCAAAATCCAGGAGATCTAAGCGGAGGGGGGGATGGTGGTTGATTGGTCAGGGTATCTGCAGGATTTTTTTAATAAAATGTAAGACTTTTTAAAGACCTTTTTAAGATCTGCACAAATAAATGTAATACCATATGAGTGGGTGGCGCAATGTCTATGGCAACATATATTCAACCGTAAAATGACTGTAAAAAGCATGATTTACAGTTCAGATACAGGTTTTCACAAAAACAGTTTTATAAAATAGTAAACTTCACATTTCAGCCTTTAAACCATTTTTAATAAAAGGATTGAGTCAAAAGTATCAATTATTATATTAAATTAGACAATTATTATCAAACAACAATTTAGTAACATTGTTTTTATTTTTATAATGCATTAGCTTCTTGTCGATCCACTGGTTCACATTTACAACTGCGTGATTTCTGTGTAAAAGTAAGGGTCGATTTTCACTTTAGTCTGAACAAAAATAGCAGACGGGCTTAAAGGGTTAGTTCCCAAAATGAAAATTCAGTCATTAATTACTCACCCTCATGTCGTTCCAAACCCGTAAGACCTTCGTTCGTCTTCGGAACACAAATTAAGATATTTTTGATGAAATGTGAGAGCTCTCAGACCCTGCATAGACAGCAATGCAACTGTAATGTTCCCAGGTCCAGAAACGTAGTAAGGACATCTGTAAAATAATCCATGTGCCATCGGTGGCTCAACTTCAGTTTTGCGAAGCTACGAGAATACTTTTTGAGCGCAAAGAAAAAAAACCAAACAATTTATTTAACAATTCTTCTCCCCCGAGTATCGTCTTCCGCCATTTTGGAGAGTACCCAAGCACGTGCATGAACGTAATCTGAGTAATCAGCATTGTTTACGCTTGGGGGAAAGCGTGCATATGCATTGTGATACTCTCTAAAATGGTGGAAGACGTAACTCGGGGGAGAAGAAACCTAAAAACAAAAAATGAGCATCCACAATTTCAAATTCCAATATTTACCAATATAAAACAAACACTAATATACTACAGTTCAAAAGTTTGGGGGTCAGTAAGATTTTTATAAATTAAAGCTTCGTTAATACTTATTCAGCAAGGATGCATTAAAAAGTGACAATGAGGACATTAATAATGTTACAGAAGATTTCGACTTCAAATAAATGCTGTTCTTTTGAACTTTCTATTCATCAAAGACTCCTGGCAAAAATGTATCACTTTTTACACAAAAATATCAAGCAGCTCAACTGTTTTCATCATTGATAATGATCTGAAATATTTCTTGAGCAGCAAATCAACATATTCGAATGATTTCTGAAGATCATGTGACACTGAAGACTGGAGTAATGATGCTGAAAATACAGCTTTGATCACAGGAATACGTTACACTTTAAATATATGAAAATAGAAAGGTGTGAAAAATAGAAATTGAATTTCTGAATATTTGTAATCTTTAATATTTGTATGCAGTCTTGGTGAACAAGAGACTTCTTTCAAAAACATTAAAAAATATATATATAAATAAATAATAAAATCGCACCAGCCCCAATCTCTTGAACAGTAGTGTACTGCATGATTTTTTAAATGTTTACAGATGACTCTGCCTGGTTTTAGCACAAGCAGCCTCATCATTAGCCCTGTTTGACACATGTTTTGAATGGCTGATGAATGTCTGTCTGTAGGTCTGTCGTCAGTGGAGGTGTACAGCCCCAAGGCTAATGAGTGGATGTTTGTGGCTCCCATGAACACCAGGCGCAGCAGTGTTGGGGTGGGCGTGGTCGACGGTGAGCATTTTGAGTTCATGTGTGTTGATCACTCTGCTCACTATATTGAGATTCAAGTGCAAACATGTTAATGAAATTAGACATGCAATAATAAAATGCTTTAGGTGGCATTTAGTGAATTTGCAAAGAACATTTCACAACATTTTACCTTTTGGCTGTTGTTGTAACGCATTTAAACTGTGCAGCTGTGATGATTCATGTAGATTGTGTAGTGATTTCACATAGCGTGTCTGATGCCTGTACAGGAAAGCTTTATGCTGTTGGAGGTTATGACGGAGCGTCCCGGCAGTGTTTGAGTACTGTAGAGGAGTATAACCCAGTCAGTAATAAGTGGTGCTATGTGGCGGACATGAGCACTAGACGCAGTGGAGCTGGTTTGTTCCTTTTTGGACATGACTTGAATATACTTTGGGCTCATTTCTGTTGAGTCTTACAGTTGAGGTCTCCATGGATTGTGTGTTTGTACAGGTGTCGGAGTGCTCAGTGGACAGCTGTATGCTGCAGGAGGACATGATGGTCCTCTGGTGAGGAAGAGTGTGGAGGTCTATGATCCTGCCACTAATGTCTGGAGACAGGTGTGTGACATGAACATGTGCCGAAGGAACGCAGGTGAGTAACCGGAGGAAAGACAGTTGAACATTTTAGAGGCACAAATAATTGAAAACAAGATTTTCCACTGTAATCTAATTTCATAATGCATAAAAAAACGGCAGACTATTCTGAGTCAGTTTTGACCCTGGGAAACAGAAGCTTAAAACCGTTAAACATTAAAAAATGAATGTGAAACATTTCAAAGTTTTGTATGCTACTTTTTTTTTTATTAATTAAAAAAAAAAAGATTTTTAAAAAAATGTAAAACTACAAATGAACCATAGCAAAAGCAGTGTGATGCAAGAATTTTTTTTTTAATAATAAATATTCATAAAGGTTTTACATTTTATATATTGTTATATGAACTTATCTTAGAATTAGCAGTATGAAATCACTGGTTTATTTAATTAAATTCCTTACATTCTCATGAATGCTTAAAACAATCTAAATTTATGAAACCTATTCCTTTTCCAACAAAATAACACCAAAATCATAAATATTACTCTAGAATGTTTTCAAACTAAATATATTGATTTTACATGCATAAACTTTCACTTTTGTAATGAAAAACATTATACAATTTTAATGCTGCAGTGGTTGATCAGTAGGTGCCAGCAGAATGGATGTTTTATTTATTTTTTTGCCTTTTCAAATTTAGACTATTTGTGACCCTGGACCACAAAACCAGTCATAAGGGTCAAATTTTTTAATTGAGATTTATACACCATCTGACATCTGAATAAATAAGCTTTCCATTGATGTATGGTTTGTTAGGATAGGACGATAAGAACGAAAGAAAACTAATTTATATCTCTAAAAGAAGTTCTCAGGCGTTCCTGCTATGAATGTCAAACACTGGATGTGTTTCAAGACTTTTAAAATCATTGTTTATAAGGGAGAGCAGGAAAGGCCTGTGGGTCTGAGTTAAGTGTGTTTGTCTGTAGGAGTGTGTGCCATAAACGGTTTACTGTATGTGATCGGAGGAGACGACGGCTCATGCAACCTGTCCTCTGTGGAGTACTACGACCCTGCTGTCGATAAATGGAGTCTCATCCCCACCAACATGAGCAATGGACGCAGCTACGCAGGTCTGCTTCACTCTCACGACCTCCATATTCTACGGCCAGTTGTTCAAAAGTTAATCTGATTGGATTTTGGCATTGAAAATGCGTTGTTCAAAAGAAAATTCTGAAATCGGATTAGATCACAAAATTCAATCTTGGTTTTGATCTGGATCAAATTGTCAGTTTGTGTTGTTCTAAACTTTTTAGTAAGAATGGGATCCCAGCAGAAGGGTGGATTTCAGGAACAAAAATGTTTAAAACCTTTAAAGCTGGTCCAGAAATACAACATTTGTTATATGTAATATACACACACATTATATAGACATTAGACAGGTAGACATTAGCCTACCTCTTAAGCCTTTCAGTAGTCTACAGTAAAGTAAAGAAGAGATTTTAGTGGCATAAAATAATCTCTAAACAACCGTCAATATCAAACAAAAATACTAGATTTCATTTTTTTTAATCACTGTTTGTAAACTACATTGGCACAATCATCAGAGAAGAACCAGTCAAAAGTAGTTATTTGTGAGCGAATGCACATTTTCTTGTGTGAATGCAAGGCAAAGAAAAAAGCATTGACATTTTTTTCCCATCTCATATTTTTTTCCATCACCGTAGGGGCTCCACAGAGCACTAGTAATCCAGATTTGGTCATCTGAAAAAGTGTGTATCTGGATCATTGTGATCCAATCCAATTTTGCTTTGAAAAACCAGCAGAAAAATAAGATGGATTACCTGATCCTGGATAGCAAAACATGGGATTTCCAAATCCAGATCATTCTGATCCAGTTAAGCTTTTTGAACAGCTGGCCCGTACTTATCAGCTAAAGCTAAACTAAACTGCTGTCTTATCTGTTTCAGGGGTGTCAGTTATTGACAAGCCATTATGACTAAAAGTTCTGCGCAGCAGGTCTCTTCGCACCTGTCGCGGACTGAGCTGTGACAGACAGACAGTGATTTAAGACCGAGTCCAGATGCTGACAGGTGCTTGAAGCTCCTGACTGCCTCTCTCTCACACACACACACACACACACACACACCAAGCCCTGACCTCTGCCAGTCTCCAGAAAGTGCCATTTACCCTTGTTATTAACAGAGAGGCTGTGTGGTAGCCCAGTATAGTGTGTATTAAACGAGACCTCGTTTATAATCTGCCAGGACAGAGTATGTATGGGACACCTACATGGCCTGTGCGGATCTGAGTGCAGGTGAAGATTGTGCCAACAGAGGCCTCTCTGCTTGCTTTACTACTGACCGACAATGCTCTGAACAAACACTCGCATCGCAGGAGCAGTCAATAAGATGTAAATCTGTTTCTACGGTCTAACACTAATGCATATCACACCCTTTAAAGCGGATCAGGACTGGATATCACTGACTTCTGTTGGTTTGGTTACAGGGTTACTTTATGTTTTTATAAAACGTATTATGGGAACAACCCCATAAGTTGTTTTAACCAGCTGCTTTCGTGCCATATAGTAATGAGGATGGTAAACTGCTAAACCGAAACATCAAATAAATCTCACAGGGTAAAGGTATGATCACATTAGCGGAATTTCACTTTCAAACCAAGCAGCTTTCTATAGAATCCATTGCGAAATCTGTGTGGAATTTCTTTTAAATTCCAGAGTGCATGGATTTCGATAGAAATGACTGGATTTTGGTGGTGAAAATTCGCCAAACAACAGTAAATGTGACCATAGCAGTTAATGTGCCAAATGTAACTCATAATTCATATGGATAATACTGTATGTTAGTTACTTGTACATAAGCACTTTTCATGATGCAGTTTGGTGTGCAATCGTCCATGTTGGACACACAGAGTCTTTCTTTTATCATGATAACTCTATAGATGCGGTCACTGAAATAGCACTGGCTTGGCTTCTCTTTGGTAAATTGCACTGTTCATCTTGTTCAGTAGAGCTGTACTATTGCAATCGCAGGTCAATTCCAATATAGCACAGGTTCATATTAAGTTCACCATTTAACCTGTTCTATCCTGACGGGGTCATTTGGATCTGTGCTTCAACAGAAATGGACTTTGGAAGACTATTTTATTTTTTTAAATATTAAGCCGCCTTAAGGTTCTTTTTCTCATTAATGGCTTATAGGCTCTGTAAAGCTGCACAGTAGTTCACTGTAGACGTTCATGTTTACAATACTGATCATTGTGAAATGAAAACTAAATTTGTTGGTAATGATTATGAATTATTAACAAAACACTGCCAACATTCTCACGATGACCAACTTTGTTAATTTGGATATATACCGATCTGAAAGTCATACTATGCAGTAAAACATTGCTTTTAAGGTTTTTGTTGTTCGCAGTGATTCCGAGTTTAATTTGAGCTATGCCTGGTGTAACTGCTGCCATTACATTGATGTCTTTACACATCATCATGATCCACAACTCTAAAACTATGACATTCCAGTGTAGTGCATCATCTATGGATTATGCACGAATGTGGTTCGTGAACAAGGTATTAATGTATTTCTAAACAAAATGTATTAATAAATTAAGCTTTGTTTAAGGGAATTTGATTGCCATGTCTTTTAAGTGTTGTGGCTGCTAGATTATGAGCTGCCACTGGAGGGCAGCAGTTTGTCATGCATTGCCAAGATGAGAGAAATTGAAAGTGAAAATGATCTTGGACACGTGTTTGCAGATTTGCATTAATGTAAAATTGTGGCCAAGCATATTTTAAGCCTATGCATACAATATATGACTAGTCGTGGCCTAATGGTTAGAGAGTTGGCTTGTAACCCAAAGGTTTGTAGCTTGTGTGTGTGTGTGTGTGTGTGTGTGCAAACTTGTATGGGTTAGCCTAAATCACGCAGAGCACCAATTCCGAATATGGGACACCCTTCTTAGCTACACGTCACTTTTCACTTTCACTTTTTATTCTGTTCATTATTCACCTTTTCACTGAAAGTAAGCCGTTTTCTGTGAATGTGCCAGACTTATATTCCATTAACCACTACTGGTAAACTAGAAGAATATCAAAATGTGTGTCCTAACTCCAAAATGATATAGTATACAATAGTACGCACTTATACTAGTGTATTAGTCTAGTGTATGGACTTTATGAGGTTAATGCAGTAATTAAGTCTGATAGCTCCTCCTTTTCCGTTATAAAAGGAAAGCTGTGGCAGCTGAATGCATGATGTGTCCAACATGCCAAAGTTTTTTTAAAGGCCTTTTCCGGTTAACTCCGGGTTTCTCAGCAGCATTAGTCTTCATAGTTGGGAGACTACCACAAATGTATTTTTTGCATTCTCACTTGCTCAAATAGCAAAAGAAAAACTAAATTTTCATGACATTAAAAAAAGGTAAAAAATAGCGAGAGACTGATAACGGCTGTCAGTAGAGAGAACGGTGTCAAATTTACAGCTGTATTAGAAATACCGTCGCATTAGCGTTAATTAGCAAAAAACATTTATTCACAACATTATTACCTGAGCCGCAGGGGAAACGGGGAAATCCGATTCTTCGGCGTCTCGATTACATTTACATTTAGTCATTTAGCAGACGCTTTTATCCAAAGCGACTTGCATTTAACCTGCAGTTACAAATGCATAAATAATTCTTTGTTTTAAACATAAAACGTTGAATACCGATATTTTAAATGATATTTAACATGAAAAAAAAAATCTTTGAAATGTGAAATTAAAACCGCCAGTAAGTGACAGCAAGTGACTGTTAATGAGTGAGTCATTGAGATTCAACAAATTCGTTCAAATGGCTGTTGATTCAGGAACAAAGCATTTGACTGTCCACTCGGAAGGGCTCATCCCTATGCCCTAATCCAGGGGTGTCCAAACTCGGTCCTGGAGGACCGGTGTCCTGAAGAGTTTAGCTCCAACCTAAAAAAATATACATAAAATCATGAATCTTAGTATTAAAAACGTGAATAATCTAATTTTGCAATAATTTCCAAAAATATAAAATCTTAGAAACTCGACGAGCATTAAAATAAGTACATTTTAAGATGTTTTATTATGGTTTACACGCCTTTTGCTGTTACTACGTCCTTGGAATCAAACCAACCAATCTCTACACGCAGGGGCTGTTGAGCGAGCCAATCAGCTGTTGCTGCGCTGCGCTCGCGAGCCAATCAGCGGTCAGATCGCTGTTCCTGTGAGTCGGGTTTGTTTGGTCGCCTAGTGATCGATGAGGAGGGTATAAATGCAGGTATTTATTCTCAACACGGCGATGACAAACACATGCTTGCTTTGGATTGTGTTTAAATTTCTTTGCTGCTCACGTCAGAGGTGTTTGGTCCGACAATAATGCTGGTTTTGTTATGAAATCGCTGCAGTAAAGCTATCGAAAGCTAACCAACACTAGCTGCCGCAGCTTCAGCGCAATTCAGAAACTATCATATGTTTATGATTTGGCAAATGATACAGGTTCGAATAACATGTTTAAATCACGTAATGTCACCTACAAAAACGTACCGTGGTACAGTGATTATTTCTGACGAAAATACCGTGCTATCGATTAAAAGCCAAACATTAGATTCCTACATCTTGTAGAAACACTGCCAATAATGTTTGCCCAGGTTTTATCCCGTTGTCTGTCTCTGTGTATTGCAACAAATTTTCAAACGTTTGCTTGCACTTCTGTTACGGAATTTGAATTTCTTTTCCCACACCTGCTCAACACTGAACAGAAGCCACGCCCTCTCTGCAGTTTGACAAGCAGGTGCATTCGGACCGAATGTAATGATTGGACGAATATTTTATGGTCCTGAAGCCTCCACAGAAGACTTTGATATAATTTAGAACATGTATTGATTGCTATCAGGATGTGAAGAGACTTTCTGAAAAACATTGCCTATACTAGGCCTGGGCGATAAAATGGTATCGATATTTATCGACGGTAGGCTGACAGACATCACAATGTTAAGGTGACATTGTGATTCCAGGATCTGCAAATCATTCGCCATCGTCCTATCAGACATTTCTCCTTACTCTGTGTATGTGGTAAGTGAACTTTCATGTACTGTAATGCAACAGGCTACTGCTAGCAAGCGGATAACTTTTAGTGGCTCCGTATAACGCGTTATTTGTTTCACGTTTTGGGCACCCCCCGATGTCATCGTCCATCACGATGTTTCACTGTAGACATCGTCCCATGCCAATTTGGTAGATATCGCCCAACCCTAATCGACGGTACACCTTGTTCGATAACGATATAAAAAAATGTTAGAAATAGTGCACGATATAGGCACGTGCCATGAGTGACGCAGACAGCACACACAAACACGAACATGAGTGCTGTGTGCCTGCCTGCGATGAGATTGTGAATGAAAAAATTAATATTAGTCGAATTTAAAATAAACACTTGCATTTGAATGCAATAATAGTACAATCGAATGTTAGGTGTGCCTCGGGGAGCATCATCAGTGGCCCACGAGATGCGGTGATAATGATGTAAGTGACGTTGTAGTTTAATGTTTTGTTAGTCTAGCCCACGAGACGCGCAGTTGCTGCGTTAATTCAAAATATTAGAGAAATATAGTAGCTCAATGCCTAGAAGATCTTGATTAGGTTAAAACCCGAAACCAAGACATTCACACAGATGCATATTCAGCGCATTTTCTAGACGGACAAATACGACTGCTGCACTCGCGTCACACGAGATTTATAGAAAGCCATGCAAAGTTAAAACAGTTTAAACTTTTAGAAAACACGTCACGAATTTGTGAAGGTTTATTCCTTTTCACTGCATCTCATATGTTTTTAAAGGCAATCTGTGAGATGGGGGATTCTGCTCTTTGTATTAAGCAATGCATAAATACGTGATGCTGTTTTGTTCATAATTGTTTATGCAGTTTATGAAATTATATTTGATTTATATGAGTTAATTTAGACGAAATGCACTTTTTTTTATAGACGGTTATTTCCTTGCGTTGACAATTTAGTGCGCTGCATTATTTTGCTCATTGCGTCCTCTGGAAACAAGCCAAAAGTTTAACCTAATTAATCTGCATATAAAATATTTCCAAAACACAGGAAACACTTGTTTTGTTTACTGTGTGGAGACGTGCTGATATCGCGTTTGGTCTCGTTCTGTATGGCGTATCTTGTCAGTGTCTGCGCTTGCTTGGCCATTTGTTGTACAGATGCATATTCAGCGCATTTTCTAGACGGACAAATACGACTCTTTCCTACTACTTGTTTCACTTCTGTTTCAGTTTTTATAACCATTTCTTACTGTGTCAGTTGTTGTTTTTTAGCATGTATTTAGATTATTCACGTTTTTAATACTGAGATTCATGATTTTATGTATATTTTTTAAATATATAATTCAGTGCGAGTTATTATGAGTATTTGCTTTTTATATTTCCATTTTATATTTGTATTTATTTATTTAAATTTTAGTTAAATTATGTCTGAATTTATTGTCTGTATAGGTCTTTTAAGTTTTTAGTTTTATTTAATTGGAGTTATTTTA